GCAACATATTTTCACTGGAATTAAATTTAAATAGAGTTCTCAAACAATACATTCTAGGATTTAATTTTTTACACAGGAAGTCAATATGGTCACTCCAGCTCAATCGATTGTTAAAAACAATGCCCACATATTTATAATTATCAACTATTTCTATTTCTTCTCCTTTTATGGTTATTGGTTGAAATTGAAATTTATGTTTGGTTCTAAAGTCAATAATCATCTCCTTTGTTTTTGTACTATTAATTTGTAGGTAGGCCTAATTATTTTCGCAAAATTCAACAAACCTTTTTATTTCGTTACGATAATGTGTGTCGTTATCTGAGATAATGAGGCCGATTGTGCTGGTATAATCCGCGAATTTTACAACTGGGCAAAGCTCACTAGATGATCTATAGTCAGCAGTATACAATGAAGATAACTTAGGCGCTTTAACTGTACCCCGAGGGACACCCGTGTCAGAGGTAAGAATTTTAGATTCAACTTCATTTATTTTTACAAATTGTTTCCTATCACAAATAAAATTTAAAATTAAACGTACAATTGGACGGGGGAACTGCATATCCAACATCTTTCTCGCAAGAACATGGGGCTGTAAAGTATTGAATGCCGACTGAAAGTCAAAATACATGATACGTGCAGAATGGCCTTTATTTGTATTATCAAGATGTGAGTATAGACTGTGTAATTTATGGAGTATAGCATCGCTGGTACTCCGTGATGATCGATAAGCGAATTGCAATGGATCTAAAACCTTTTCCACATAGGGTTCCATAATTCTTAAAATAATACGTTCCAAAGTTTTCATAACAACAGAGGTAAGTGCAACGGGCCCTAGATCATTCATACAAGTAATTTTTAGTTTTTTTGGGTACCGGTATTATGCATGAAAGTTTCCAGAGATCAGGGAATGTATGATGTAAGAGACAAAGATTAAAAATATAAGTAAAAATACCATCAAGATGAGGAGAGCAGGCCTTAAGTACTTGTGGTGGGATCTTGTCTGGACCAGCAGCCTTCGATGGATTGAGTTTCATGAATTCATTATGAACATCAGAAATACTAACAATGAATTTAGGGTCCTCTTCAGTGACCCGACACGAGTTAAACAAGGACCTCCTCTCTTCCTTAAAATCATAACCATTAAAACGATTATAAAATTAATTTAGCTCATTTACATATTGCACTGTTACATTTGGAATTGGGGTAGGTATATTACCACCATTTGTGTAGCCACTCATTAGTTTCATACCCTGCCAGACTTTTTTCCTATTGTTTGACTTAAAGTTCTGTTCGACTTTTTTCCTAAATATATTCTTCTGTTTCTTAATTTCAGATTTAATCTCACTAGTCAGTCTTTTCATACGATTGGTATCACCCAGTTTAAATGCTTGCCGTTTCTCACACAAAAGTAATTTGACGGCTTTTGTTATCCAAGGTTTGTTATTAGGATAAATTTTAACTGTTTTTACTGGCACGCATTTCTCAATACAAAAGTTTATGTAGGCGCTCACTGCGTTTGTGATACCATTCAAATCTTCTTCATCAGTAAAAATATTCCAATCGGTTGTTTCAAACTCTGTTATTAGGGCTTCTTCAGCTTCGAGTGACCACTTGCGAACTTTAATAATTTTTGGCTTTCGGTTGTTGATACCGCTTTTTTATATTTATGTAACCTTGTGTAAACTGCTAATTTGCAGTTGTTGAATTACACTTTTTTTAACTGATCTGATAAATAAACTTGATAGCAATTAAACAATCGGTGATTACACTGTCACAAAAAGTGCTCTATCTTCCCGAGAGCCTTGGGTCTGCCGGGTGTTGCACGTGTATTGGTAATATGCAAATTCGCTGACCCGAAGGTCGTAGTGCCTCAGTGGTTGGGCTACATTAACCCTGCGAGGGTCGTCACTACATTCCCCCCTTATTTGAAAGGGGAGCCATTGTCTCGCGGAAGGGTACCCATCCGACCCATGGATTTAGGGGACGGAGGGCTGGGCTAGGAAACAGAGGACGGAAAACTTCTCATAAATAAATAAAACTTCTCTTAATCAAAGAAATGAAAAGGCTTCTAACAACGAAAAGTTTTCTAATTTTTTGAGCAACAGCTCAAAACAGGTCCCACTGCCTCTGCAGTTGCCCAGAGAAGATGAGGCGCACCCACGCGCTGCCCCGCCGGCTTGAAATATGGTCCATCGGACTCAATCAACATCCGGCGGTCATTGTGCTCGAATAGGTGCTTGCAGGCAGCTCGTTATGCCTCCCCAAACCTACTCACGCCCAAAGAGAAACTAAAATAGGTATTGGGGAAGACCCGCAGATATCGATCAACGACCCCGGCTGTTGACACGAAATTGTGCAGCATAAGCTGCTGTTCGCGCGGGATATTGAGCAGGCGAAGGATGTCGAGACCTCGCAGGAAATATTCTTCCGCTGTCTCATCCTCCACCATGCCCCAGAGGTGCAAACATATGACCAGGTGACGTCGGCGCATATAGCACTCCCCAGAACGCGCTTAAGAAGGTCATCCTGTCTGGGCCAGTCCGATGGGGGCTGGGTGTGATCGAGACCAATCTCGCCCAGCACCTTTACATCTCTTGACCAAGTCAGGAATCGCAGCCGCTCGAAGTGGGTTGCCGTGATCTTTTTGGGATGAATCCCGATGCCCACCTCGCAATGGGGTTGGCGCACAACAGAGCTTATCTCCCGGAAAGTGGGGTAAGTGGCAGGATCGCAATATACCGCAACCCCACCCCCCACAGCCACGGGTTGAACACCCTCCTGGAGGAGTTCCTCCCTCCCTACTTCGATTAGGCTTGCCTTCGGATGCAAACCTAAAGCCCTGCGTAGATGATCCAAATGGAAATGGGCATCAAAAACGTAAGGCCGCGCTTCTGGGACCCGACGCGATAGATGGGTTTCCCCTTGAGCATCAGGCCCAGGCCGCTCCGTCGCTCTCTCCTGATGCAATAGTTGGGGAGCTCGCGAGCCCCCCTGAGCATCAGCTCCAACATCGCGCTGCGCCTTCCTCTTCTGAGGGAGAGTCACAGGTAGAGGGAAAGCCGCTTCAGCTTCTGCGACAATCCCCCGGAACTCCCCCTCCTCAACTCGCTGCCCAAACGCAGCGACGCAGCGCCAATGAATCAAGACTGCGGGATCGCTTATTGGGTTGACGGTGAGACATGCCGTCACGTCAGCCCCCATTGCTTCCCGCAGCTTGGTCATGGCCGCCCGGGTCCTCACATCAATGGCCCAATGCTCTCCCGGTTCCCCCGTGGATCGCTCCCGGTTTAACCTGTTTACCAGGTCATGGAGAGAAGCTCCCTCTCCAACGATGTACTGGGCTAGCCCCTCCAGTACCCTCAGTTGGATATTGGTCCGGCGCTTGGTGCACCGGGGCTGGGGTTTAAAACAGGCTGGGGCGTGACTAGCGAGGATGTGGATGTTCACATGTTCACCACATTGTGCTCAGCACACTCTGGATACCGGCATGGGTTCTTCGAGCGTTGCCGACGAGCTGATTCCTTTGCCGGGGCAGATGATGGCTCCAGTGGGTGAGGATCCAATGCCGGGGCAGATGTTGGCTCCGATGGGCGGGGGGACTCAGTCTTAGGCGAGTCAATCTCCACCAACTCCACTTCATCCTCCTTTGGAGAACCCACCAACTCCATTTCACTCTCCTTTGAAGAGCCCAAATCCATTACTGAGGAGATAAATACAAAACATTTTAATATCCACTCAATAGTTACATAGTCGGTTCCCACTTAATCTCGGCAACCAGCGCATTTGTACAAATCAGTGTTCAGCGCGTCCAGCTGCAAGACATTCACACAAGAACCATGGTACCAGACATCACAGTAGTCACATTGGATCATAAAAGTACCAGCCCAAGGCTGGCGACAGTAACAATACAGTGTGTCTGGCGAGTCATCATCTTCCTTATCTGTGAATGAAGAACTTGGTAAAGAAAAGTTAGTTAACCATTTTGGAAGCTGCCTGTCTCGACAGGGCTTCAACTTGTCATGGTTGAGGGTCATTACCTTATTCCTCAATTTCACCCTAAACAAATATGGCGTGATTACCTCAATTATAACCCCTGGACCCTTCCAAGGAGGGCATAACTTTTTACATTTACCCTTCGGTGAACTATGATCCAACACATATACCTTATCCCCTATTTGATAAGGACGTTTCAGGATACGAAGATCATAATTTCGTTTCATGTGCCTCTGAGTTTCCCTTAAGGTCTGTCTTGCTACCTCATGAGCATCTCGAATGGAGGTTACTAGCTCAGTAATATAGGTCCCTACTTCCGCAGCGTTCTCCGGTATCCCATCACCAAAAACTAGATCAGCAAGTAGACTAACCTCGTGACCCAGCATCAGCATGTTTGGAGTGAAAACTGTGGAACGGTTAACGGTGGAACGTAAAGCTCCGGCAATTTGCAGAAGATGGATATCCCAATCTTTCTGTCTTTTCCCCATAAAACACCTCACAGCATCCATCAATGTTCTGTTGAAACGTTCCACTTGACCGTTGGCGGATGGTCGATAGCTAGTGCTACGAGTCTTGTGGATCTGTAAAACTTTACAAAGAGAGATGAACAATTCACTTTCGAAATTCCTCCCCTGATCAGAATGCAACTGAAAAAGGACCCCAAAACGAGAGAAGAAATCCCTTACCACCGCTCTAGCAGTGACTTCAGACGTCTGGGAGGGAAGGGAACTAATTTCCACCCACTTAGTGAATTGGTCGACCATTACCAATATGTAGATGTTACCTTGTTCTGTTTTTGGCAAGGGGCCCAGGAAGTCAATATGCACCCGCTCCATCGGTACCCCAGCATGAAACTCGGTCATCGGGTATTTACCCTTACGAGTCGTCTTCTTACTGCGATTACAATTTTCACAGGTTGTAACATATCGCTCAACATCCTTGCCCATCCCATACCAACAGAATTTCTCTTTAAGTCGGTGTTTGGTCCGTTTGACTCCTTGATGACTAGCAGAAGGTATGTCGTGGTGTAACCGCAAGGCTATTGGTTGTAACTCCCTTGGTAACACCAAAAGGTGTCCTGCTGAATCTTCTCGTCTCAGAAACAGGATTCCCTTGTCAGTAAGATGTAGGCGTTTTCTGTTTAACCAAAAGAACTTAGTAGCGGGGCTAGTAAGGAACAGTCTATCCTTGGAGGGCTCTTCGTTCTCCAACCAATCAAAGACAGGTATGAGATCTGAATCACTCCGTTGATGCTGCTTGATTTCGTCACACGAATAACCCCAACACATCGCTACATCAGAGCTTGGTTTCACTGCAAAAACCCTACCCTCATCCTGCAAAATAGATATTTCGTTAGTCTCATCATCGGAGGAAGGTCTGTAAATTTCAATAGTTACCTGTCCCTCTGTGTTTTCTCTCTCTACCCGTACAACATTGACTTGACCAATTGGCACCACATCATCCACCTCATCTCTGAAGCTCGCCCATCTAGCATGAGCTCGTTGACAATATGAACAACTACCACATGGAAGATGATCAGGTAGTACTTTGTGTACATGATGGTTAGGTGATGTGTCTATACGGGAAAGAGCATCTGCATTAGTGTGCAACTTACCCTTCTGGTGCTGGATTACCATGTTATATTGGCTAAGTTCCTCAATCCATCTTGTCAGTTGACCCTGCGGATTTTTGAAGTTCAGTAGCCAAGTCAAGCTACTATGATCCGTCCTCATTGAACCAGAGCGAGTTTAAGAGCTTCAAATGATTTCTGTTGTTCAACTCCCCACATGAATTTGACATTCTTACCCGTGAGATGATAGAGTGGTACTGCAATATCAGCAAAATGGCCAATGAATTCCCTATGGTAATTTGCTAATCCCAAGAATCGCTGAACATCGTTAGTGTTCTGCGGCGCCGGCCAATCCTGAACAGCCTTCACATCAGATTCGGACACTGACAGCATGTCATCTCCAACGATGCGTCCTAGAAATTCTACTCTTTTCTGAAAGAAGATACACTTTTTAGGTTTAAGTTTGAGATTACTATCCCTAAATTTTCCAGAACACGTGTCACATTGCATAAATTAAATTCAAGAGCATCTCATCATTGATAAGGGCTACATAAAAGAATTCAGTGTATTCACTAGACCCAAGCCTAAACTTAACGGGTCCCACCTTGTAACCCGGCATTGTAGTCCCCCTTCCAGCTAGAGTAAAAGAGAGCTTAGCTACAACTGGTGGTAAAGGGTTAAGGCTAGAATACATTTTATCTGAGAGTATGGTGTAATCTGCTGCCGTGTCCACAACCACGTTGATAGGTACATTATTCACATGAGCAGTTGCGTGTAAAGCATCTGCAGAACTTACCCGACTTACAATTATTATTTCTGTCTCGGAGTCTTTTAGCTCTTGACGAATGTTAGATACGCCCACAGATTCAATCGCTTGGGGTGCAATTGCCTGCAGGTTACCTGATTTATCAAGGCTAGTCGGCGATTCTACTGGAAAAATATGTGTTTTAGTTAATCCCATACATGAAGAATCTGATTGACCCTGAACCCCTGATCTTAAAGTTCCAATTGAAGATGGTTGGCCTGACTTTAGAGGAGGGTCGGGCAGCTGGCCATCGCCCCCAGCCTCTATTCGTTTAAAGGCTCCTCCTCCTTACCCCCAACTTGTTTGATTTGCTTTTGATTAAGCAAGGGGCAATCCCTCTTGAAGTGGCCCGGGTCGTGGCACTCGTAACAGCCTCCCCCCGTGGCCCAAGCACGCTTAAAAGCCTATCAAACTTAGAATTCAGCTGGGACATTTGGAAATCAAACTTAGCGTTCGATTGCGCCGGCTGGGTTTCAAACTTAGCGTTCGCTTGAGCCATGAGGGTTTCAAACTTAGAGTCCAATTGGACTGCCCGAGCTTACATTGCGGCCAATCGACTACTAGTGTCGTCCCCCGAAGGTTTTTGACTCGAGGGACCAGGCCTCCCTGCCCTCCTAGAATAGCTGGATTTGCCACCCCTATTAGGTCTTCCGCCCACTTGCCTAACTCTACGGTAGGAATCTTCATCATCTTCCCCATCCTCTTCAGAAGCCGAAGAGGATGAGGCGAACGGCGAGAAGCAGCGGCAGATCGAACATGGGCCTTAACTACCTCCTTGGACGACCTACCCCTTCTCTTAACATACAACCCACTGAGGCTTACATACTGCTCGTATTCCCTTAACGCCTTAATCAAGGTTGCACAGTTCTTATTGAGAACATGCTTCCCCGCCTCAGAGTCCCTGCACCCTAAACAAAATCTTATGGCTGCCTGTCGCCTAATCCAAGATTTTGGAAGGGCACCATAGGCCTTCCTTGTCATAGTGAGGACCCTTTCTCCCCACTCATCTACTGTTTCGTCCTCCCGCTGGGAAGAGGCTTCTAATTTAGCCTGCAAAACTTCCGGAAGGTCATCCTCCTTATATCGCTTATCAAAGGCGCTCATGAGTTTGCGAAAGGAAATGTGTCTATCCATTTCAATCAGATTGACATAAAACTCGGCCGCACTCCCTTCTACACACCAACAGAGTGCGTCCGTTCTCTCCTTTCCCGAAAGCTCCTGCTCCTCTGCGAACCTGAGGAACCGCTGTCTAAAAAAGGACCAGTTTTCCTTCCCTTTAAACGTCAAAGTCTTTGGGATATCTTTAGACTTAAATGACGTACCCCTTCGTTTGGGTGGAACCCTCCTTTCAGTATGCCTTATAGTTCTCAAAAGTTTGGCATACCCCTGAGAATCATCAGATTCCCGCTCACTTTCCTCCCCAGAATTTAGGTCAACATCGAAGTGTACCGTACACCTGAATAAACAATTAATGAGTTTAATAAACTAATTCCTGGATCGATTAATGAAACCCTTAAATAAAAACAATGAATTTAATAAACTAATTCCTCCATGGTTTAATCAAACCCTTAAATAATAACAGAGTTTAGAATGCTTTGTGTTGCGTTTTTTATGTTTACAGAATAATCTTGGTGAAAGGGGGTTACGTAGTGTGACAAAGAACAACCATTCAGCATGTCCAGTGTATAGCACGCTACGGTTCGAAGGACATACAGTACAGTACTGTATAAACACATTTTATTTTTGTTTCAATTAATAATGAATTACTCTTTAGACTTCCAAGCTAGTTTTGTATTAGCTTTGATTTTGATGCACACTGACGCAACGGCTCGGTTTATCGCCCTGTTGGCGACAGTCGCCGACAGTCGTCGGGAAGGTTGACCCTGGCTCAACTTTGCCGATTGCGTTGCAGACGAATCCGGGTGCACTGCTGATGCCCTGGCGCAATCGGAAAGGCACTCCGATTCGTCTGCAAGGCAATCGGCAAATTTTAAATGGGTTCAACCTTCCCGGCGACTGTCGCCGATATCGGTGAGCGATTCTATGGAATTTCATTTCATTTCAATTTATTCAGTTCATTCAGAGAGATAAAAACAAAACATTACAAAAGCACAGAAACAGATAAAAAGTACAATATCAACTGAATGAACTGAGAGGAATATACCCAAGAAAGTTTACGAGTAAACTTATTTCCATTGGGGTCCTCAAGACAGAAAGTAAACATTGAAAATTGCACTAACCCTAACCACTAAAAATAGCAAATCTTACCAATAAATTAAATTACATTAATTACACTTAACAAATGAAAGAATGCTGCACAATAAATAATTAAAAAATTTAGGTTATAAAAATTTATTTATAAAAATTAAAGATAAAACAAATCAATTTATAAATTTCAATTTAATTTATTCAAGAAAACACCTTCAAACAAGGAAACGTAGGCCTATACATATATAAACACGTTCAAATATTGGAAATAAAACATTGACTTAAATTTTTTAAAAAATAATTAAAACACTGCACAAGGTTATATACTTAACTTGCATAAATATATAGGCCTATACAAAACAGAACAGCAAAACGAAAAACGACAAAAACCGTATAACCTCTCATTCAGAAACTTCTAACAATTTTAGGTAATGAATGGTTTCGTTGTTAAGGGAAGGGAATTTAAAGTACTGTAACTGCGACCTTAAAATCTAATAATTAAAAAAAAAATTATTTCAATTATAGAGAATTTAAAAAAGAAATGTTGTTTAAATTCATTAAAATTAAAATTATCAAAAACGCTTTATTATTTAATATAATTCAGTAATTATAAGGTATTATAAAAAAAATTAGGATTGCGGTTCTTTTATTTAAAATGCTAAAATACAAAACCGAGCTTTATGAAAGCAAAACAAATAATCAGGAAATAATTTAGATTGGATAAATTACGGAAACTTAAGCATGCCTCAGGCATTTGGAAAAAGAAACTGTTACCAAGTCGATGTTCTTTATAGCCCTAAGTGTAGATTTTTATTGATATGGAATCATGTATATTATATTAGTAGTCGTCATCATATTCAGAGGTAAGCAAAGAATATTTATTTTACAAATGATTCTTGTTATAACTGTTCTCAATTATTTTGTTTTGTGTTCATTTATGCAATTCAATATATAGACTATATTTATTCGAATACAATAAACGCCCGGAGCGTTTATTGCTGAGGAGGGTTTTTGAAGGGGCGTTTATTCGAGGCATTAATATTATTCGAGGGAGGCCTTTCTTTTTGTTTAGTTTAAAATGGATACGTATATAGTGGAGTGGAGCTCATCGGTTAAGATGCTTGCTTCTAATCCCAGGGTCCTGAGTTCACAACAGGACTTTTTTCTCACGAGTAAAAATTCCACTCTCTAAGCCTCATAATGAGACTTAGTTTATAAAGCATCATCCTCATCCTGTAAGTGGCGAGTGCTTGCTGGTGGATGTGAAGGAAATAAATTAGTCAAATAAACGCCCCTTGGTTTTTTAATAAATGTGAACAACACATAATTACCGTCTGAATGTGTTATTGCGTGATCATGAAGACTTACTGATCCACGGCAGGTTAAAAAAAAAAAACATTTTTACTGGAGTAGACCATTAATAGAATGTGTTGAGAATGATGTTGCTTCCATTGTTTACAGTATTTAGAGGGGTGTTTATTCGAGGAAGAATAAACGTCCAGGGTGTTTATTCGAGGAACACGTTTGTTTTGAGTGAGGCTCTAAGAGGGGCGTTTATTCAAATCGGGGTTTATTCGAATAAAAACGGTAATTACCGTTCTTCTTCTTCAAGTGTCATACGTGATGCAAGCTTCGCGGGCAAGAGCTTCCAACGCTTTGTGAAACAACATTTCTACAGACCCTTGTTACGTGATGACCGATGGCATTTTCGTTTTTGTCCTCGGCTCTCCTCATGACTTTTACATTGGTCTACATTATAAATGTGATTAAAAAACTGTCTTATATCCAAGATACAGCATGAAAACAGTAATGAACAAGTTTTGTAATAACATCAATATTATCTACATTGTTACTTCTATAGCGCTCATTCTTTGCGGTTACAAAGCGCTAAACCTCCACTGTAATTATATCCCTGCAATTACATCCCA